AACCTTGCTGCTGCTGCTGCCAAGTTGCTCCAGTCGTGTCCGACTCTGTGCAACCCCATAGACAGCAGCCCACCAGGCTCCTTCGTCCCTGGGACTCTCCAGGCAAGAACACTGGAGTGGGTTGCCATTTCCTTCTCCAAGAAACCTTGCTAGGTGCTAGGAATTAGAGATTAAAACAATGCATAGGCTCAGCTCTTAAGAGTTCACAATCTAATAAAAAAGGTATGTAAATCACTTCCCATAAAAACAGTAATGGATGCAAAATCTGTACACAGGTGATTTACCTGTAAAAATTCCCATTTGAATTCTTAAAAACAAGTAATGGTGTTTGTCAGAGGAGGCAGAGAAATGTTTTATAGAAAAGAGGAACTTTATCTTTGGTGTTAGATGATTAGGAGATTAAGTATTTAATGGGAAGATAATGGAAAATGTTTCCCAGGAAATAAAATTGAATAAAGCCTTGACTATATGAAATTACCTATAATATCTAAGGAAAGCAAGTATTTTGTAGTTTGCTTGTACTTTGATGTATGTTTGTGGAAAAATGTGAAGTAAGACTGTAAAGAAGCTTGTAGACAGACCCAGAAAGGTTGCATATACTGTAACTGAGGAAGGTGTCTTTTATTTTTGCTTTATTTTCCCAGTAAGTGTTCCCCTCCCTCTCGCTATTTTAACAAACCTTGTTGTCATTGTTGCCATGAAGCAAGTATCTGATCCAGGTCTGGTCAATCCAGGGGACAGAGGCTCAAATGATATGCACTTTTCAGAAGCAGGGCCAGGGTTAAACCTTCCCTGTGACTGACATTTAAAGAAAGAAGTGTACTTTTTCTGTTGGGTGGCCTGTGATTTAGGGATCTGCTATGTGGAGAAGGCTTGTTTGCATTTTTAGAGAATGAGCCCAGCAGTCTTCAAAGAAGAGTAAGCAGAGATTGGATGTACAGACATATCTTGTTTTATTATGTGTTGCTTTATTGAGTTTTATACATATTGCAATTATTTTTTAACAAATTGAAGGTCTGTGGCAACTCTTGTGTTGTTAGATGATGGCTAGCATTTTTTAGTAATTAAGTATTTCTTTTAATCTGTATTTATTTATTTAATGCCTTTATTTATTTTATGCCATGTGCAGCACGTGGGATCTTAGTTCCCCAATCAGGGATTGAACCTGGGCCCTCTGCATTGGGAGCATGAGTCTTAACCACTGGAATGCCAGGGACGTCCCAGTAGTAAAGTATTTTTAAATTAAGGTATGTATGTTGATTTTTTAGAGACATACTGCCATTGCATATTTAACAGACTGTAGTACAATATAAACATACTTATGTATGCACTTGGGAAACGAAAAAATTTGTGACTTGCTTCATTGCAATATTCACTTTATTGCAGTGGTGTGGAACTGAATTTACAATATATCTGAGCTATGCCTGTCAACAGGAGACTGAGTCCTAGGGATGCTGAATTTCTGTCCCAGTCCTTGAGGCCATGGTTCTTGGTGTACTTCTTTCACTTCCACAAGTGATTGTCAACATCTCAGCTACATGAGTCACTTGGTTTAAGGAAGTCTGGAAGTCCCAACCATGGCAATCAGGGAAGAAAAAGAAATATAAGGAATCCAGATTGGAAAAGAAGAAGTAAAATGGTCACTTTCCCAGACGACATGATACTACACATAGAAAATCCTAAAGATGCCATCAGATAACTACTACAGCTAATCAATGAATTTAGTAGAGTCACAGGATACAAAATTATTACACAGAAATCCCTTGCATTTCTATAAACTAACAATAAAAAATCAGAAGGAGAAACTAAGGAAACAATCCTGTTCACCAATGCAACAAAAAGAATAAAATACCTAGGAATAAAACCTACCTAAGGAGACAAAAGACGTGTATGGAGAAAACTATAAGATACTGATGAATGAAATCAAAGATGATACAAACAGATGGAGAGATATATCATGTTCTTGGATTTGAAGAATCAATATTGTGAAAATGACTATAACTACCCAAAGCAATTTACAGATTCAATGCAATCCCTATAAAATTACCAATGGCATTTTTCACAGACCTAGAAAACTTTTTTTTTTTTACAATTTGTATGGAAACAGAAGAGACCCCGAATAGCCAAAGTAATCTTGAGAAAGAAAAATGGAGCTAGAGGAATCACACTCCCTGACTTCAGACTATATTACAAAGCTATAGTAATCAAGATAGCATGATACTGCAAAAAAGCATAAATACAGATCAATGGAATAGGATAAAGTCCAGAAATAAACCCACACACGTATGGTCACCTTATCTTTAACACAGGAGGGAAGAATATACAATGGAGAAAAGACAGCATCTTCAATAAGTGGAGCTGGGAAAACTGGACAGCTACATGTAGAAGAATGAAGTTACAACACTTCCTAATACCGTACACAAAAATAAACTCAAAATGGATTAAAGACCTAAATGAAAGGCCAGACACTATAAAACTATTAAAGGAAAACAGGCAGAATACTCTTTGACATAAATTGAGCAAGATCCTTTCTGATCCACCTCCTACAGGAAGAAAAATAAACAAGTGGGACCTAATTAAACTCAAAAGCTCTAGCAGAGCAAAGGCAGTCATAAACAAGATGAAAAGGTAACCCTCAGACTAGGAGAAAATATCTGCAAACAAAGCAACTGACAAAGCATTAATCTCCAAAGTACAAAAGCTCCTCAAGCAGCTCAAAATAAAAAAAAACAAGCAAATCAAGAAGTGTGTAGAAGACCTAAACAGATATTTTTCCAAAGAAGACATACAGATGGCCAGCAAACACATGGAGATGCTCAATACTGCTCATTATTTTAGAAATGCAAATCAAAACTACAATGAAGTATCACCTCACATTGGTCAGAATGGCTATCATCAAAAAATCTGCAGACAATAAATGCTGGAGAGGGTGTAGAGAAAAGGGAACCCGTGAACTGTTGGTGGGAATGTAAACTGATACAGCCATTATAGGGAACAGTATGGAGGTTCCTTAAAAAACAAAAAATACCAAATGACCTTGCAATCCCACTACTAGGCAAATACCCTCAGAAAACCATAATTGAAAAAAAAAACACATACCCCAGTGTTCACTGCAGGACTATTTACAATAGCCAGGACATGGAAGCAATCTAAATGTCCACTGACAGATGAATGGATAAAAAGATGTGGTACATATATACAGTGGAATATTACTCAGCCACAAAAAGGAATGAAACTGGATCATTTGCAGGGATGTGGAGGAACCTAGAGTCTGTCATACAAAGTGAAGTAAGTCAAAAGAGAAAAACAAATACCACATATTAATGTATATATATGGAATCTAGAAAAATGGTACTGATGAACCTATTTACAGGGCAGGAATAGAAACACAGATATAGAGAATGGATCTGTGGACACAGTAGGGGAAGGAGAGGGAGTACGAACTGAGGGAGTAGCACTGACATATATACACTACCATATTTACACTATCTATAAAACAGATAGCTAGTGGGAAGCTGCTATATATAGCACAGGGAGCTCAGCTCGGTGATGTGATGGCCTAGAGGGGTGTGAAGGTGATTCACTTTGTGATACTGCAGAAACTAACACAACATTGTAAAGTAATTATACTCTAATTAAAATAAATAAGCAAAAAAATTTTAAAAAGGAAGTTTGAACTGTGTACCTGCCATGTACAAAATGAAGTGAAAGAGTCCTTACCTAATCTGACACACTAAGAACTCTGCTGCACGAGGTAAGGCAATGGGAGCTATAGAAAAATTTGCTGTAACATATTTCATTGCATTCTAGTTTATTTGTTCATCTGCATCCCCTGCTAGATTAAAGGTTTCTTAAGAATTTTCTCATTCATTCATCTTTGAAAAACTCTCAGTGGCTGACATAATTCTTCATAATAACCTGGTATTTGATATGTATTACTCTGTGATTATGGGCTTTCCAGGTGGTGCTAGTGGTAAAGAATCTGCCTGCTACTGCAGGAGACACAAGAGATGTGGGTTTGATTCCTAGGTTGGGAAGATTCCCTGGAGGAGGAAATGGCAACCCACTCCACGGCTCTTACCTGGGAAATCCCATGGACAGAGGAGCCTGGAAGGCTACAGCCCATGGGGCCACAAAGAATTGGACACAACTGAGCGCGTGTGCATGCACACACACAGTGATTAATTATGGAGATAAGATAAACATCTTACCATAATAAATTCCCTCTGTTATCATCCAAACAGATTCCCTCAAAATGTGAGCTGTGAAACTAGAGAAAAGATCAAAAGGCAGAATATATCCCAGTTTCTTCTGGGCTGCCTAATTTTGATTACATATCTATTTGGTTTCTTTCAATCTTTAGACATAAAGGACAATGATTATTTTCAAATATACGTAAGAAAGCCTGAGACACACATTTCTAGAGGAGTTAAGATTAACATTTCCTCTTCCTGCATGCACTTCTATTTCCTCCTGGTTTAGCTGGCAACTGACAGTCCAGGGGAGAAAACATTTCAAGCACCTTTTTCATCCCAATATTTAGAAATGCTGATCAAACTACTTTCTTTTGTAGCTATTCTTGTGGCAAAATAATCTATCCTTTTAGGTTTTGTTGCCTATTTTAACACCAGGTTCAAAACTATTTTTTTACCATGTCATTAAATTATATTTTTGTCAACTGAAAAATAGCATGCAGCCTGACTTAAATCTTGTGAGATAGGGAATTCCAGTCTGCCTGCACCTGTAGGTGTTTGGATTGGATTTCCAGTTTACCTATCAGAAATGATATACTCTCTCTCCTGAGTTAACGTAGGTGGCTTCTGGAATCAAACATGTCAGGAAAACCAATACTCTTTTCTATATTGTGCTTCTAGTACTTAGAGTGATCTTTATAATTTTTAACTGTATTTCCAGGTAGCTGGGTAGAGTTTAAGACAGATCTGGATGTAGTATTTAGAGTCAACAGAGACAATGTGGAAGGAGATGTAGACGGGCCTTACCTCAGGCATCCTGTGACATTGTAGAATATATCAAAATCAAGCAAACCATTTGCTTTGGGGTAGTCTCCTTCTGGCCACCCCGAAAAGGGAATGATGATATTCTCAGTGAGGACAAGCAAGGCTTCTGTTATCATGAGATTCTTAAGTTTGTCATTAGAGGATAAATTCCACAGCAAACCTAGAAAAGTAAAGAGTGCCATCAAAACAGGGCTAGGTCAAAATGACTACTGAAAAGGTCAGTTAAGACCATCACCCTTAGATCCATGGCTGGTTATAAAAAGGAAAAAAAAAAAAAGAAGGTGGGTGAGATAGTCCTTTTCACAAGGGAAAGTACCTGTTTAGACATTGTTAGATGCCAATGGAAGCTGTCCCAAAAAAAACAATTAAAATATATCTAAAACAAAGAGAACTTACAATGTGAAACTATACATATTTAAGTTAATCAAGAACATAAATGAATGCCAAAAATTCTTATTACTATTCTCTTAAAAGATCCTACCACAAAGCTGACCTCATTAGGATAATAAATTTTGGGCTCATCAACAGGAAAGCTTGAAATGATCCTACTGTAATTAAGAGTTCAACATTTTTTTTTAATAGTTTCTTGCAGCTCTTTTTTTTTTTCATTTATTTTTATTAGTTGGAGGCTAATACTTTACAATATTGTAGTGGTTTTTGTCATACATTGACATGAATTAGCCATGGATTTACATGTATTCCCCATCCCAATCCCCCCTCCCACCTCCCTTTCGACCCGATCCCTCTGGCTCTTCCCAGTGCACCAGGTCCGAGCACTTGTCTCATGCATCCAACCTGGGCTGGTGATCTGTTTCACCCTTGATAATATACATGTTTCGATGCTGTTCTCTTGAAACATCCCACCCTCGCCTTCTCCCACAAAGAGTTCAACATTTTAAGGCTCATATTTCTCTCCCTTAGATACATATCTAAGAATATCTCTGCCTGCCTCCTGCTTCCCTACTACCCACCTGACATTTGCTTTCCAATAACAGCAGGAAAAGCCTGTAGAAAGCCTTTGCCTATGCCTGTCAAGAGTAGGCTGATCAATATCACCAAAGAATATTTATTAACTCCTACCCAATGGTAGACTTTGTCCTCCCAGAATTTATGCTAGCCCTACTGCTGCTGCTAAGTCGCTTCAGTTGTGTCCGACTCTTTGTGACCCCATAGATGGCAGCCCACCAGGCTCTTCTGTCCCTGGGATTCACTAGGCAAGAATACTGGAGTGGGTTGCCATTTCCTTCTCCAATGCATGCATGCATGACAAGTCGCTTCAGTCGTGTCTAACTCTGCGACCCCGTGGACAGCAGCCCACCATGCTCCCCTGTCCACGGGATTCTCTAGGCAAGAATACTGGAGTGGGTTGCCATTTCCTTCTCCGATGCTAGCGCTACCTCATCTTATATTACAGTTTGGCAGAGAAGGAGAGATGAGTATTTACTCTACTTGCCAACTTGCAGGGGCTAAGCATCGGTCTAAGACTGGTACCACATTTACTCACTTAACTTTCCCATCCTCTTGAATCCCCTCCACCCCCAATTAAAAAGAAAGGCCGCATCAGCCAACTCAGGGAGAAATTAAGATAACAGAATACTGTACTTCCAGGGCATCCACAGGGACTGAAGCTGAGTACTAAGAATACAAAGTTGCATATATTTACATTTAGGATTTGTTTTTCTCAAAAATTTGGTGCTCAAATACCTCTGATTGAGTGGAAGGACTATATACCTACCGCTTGCTAGTCCAGTGACTCCCAGCAGGTGTCAAGTTCCTGTGCCATCACTCATTCTTCAGTAAATTACCATAACTCACTATCATCCAAGAAAGAGAATTTTCTTCCTATTTATGCCCCACCGCCCAGTCAGTAATTCTTCCTTCTTAAATTTATTGCTCCGTCTGCGTGAAGAACAGAGTTTGCTTTATGAATAAAGCAAACATGGTGGTCTTAGCTAAATTATGTGGTGATATTACTTCCCCTGAAATTAATGACAGAAATACTAGTCTGTGATTAAAGCTGAGCAGTTAATCAACCATACTTGTATCTGGCCCTTCAATTAGAGTATTCTAGGCCTGATGTAGTCTTTTGGGGCTTAAACAGTTTACTTTAGCTGTGTACAAGTAACTAATTTTTTAAATCACCAAATATCCACCACAGCTTATACCTAGCTTCCATTAGACAAGGCGGTGCGGGGTCTAGTGTTTCATGAGGACTAGAATTCTGGCTGATGAGATCTTTTCCTGATCCAACAGGCATTTGGGGTCAGCAGTGTCACTCAGCCACAGGCTTTGCAACACAATGACTTCACTGGTCACACCTCATATTAAGAGGTCCTGGAAGGGGAGAGACAGAATAAAATTCCAGAAAACTCCTAAGGTGGCTGAAAACAACTGAATGGCAGGTCTGAGGTTGAGTTTTGGTTACTAAGCTACAAAAGAAAGCTGAAGAGAAAAGACAGAAGAGGAAAATAAAAGCTTCCTGTTCTAAATAAGCAAACAAATTAACAGTCTCTGCCTGCCAGAAGCTTAAAAATGTGAAGCATAATGGCATTTCCTCTCTTTAAAAAGGACCACACAGAGCACTCAAAGGAAAAGTACACCTTACAATAAAAACCAGAGAGGATTAATTTGAACAAAGGGAATGGAATTTTCTCCCAACAGTCAATGTCCTTTGTAGTTTGGCATGCTATATTATTACTACAGAAGTATATGGTTTGGGGAGTTTCAGTATAGTTTTTGAATTTTTAATGTAAGATATTGTACAGAAATGTCACGCTTGCCAAGTTTCTGTATGATACAAAGCTAGGAAAGAGCTTAAATGTTCACCAGAGAGTCAGGATTGTACATCTTTACACACACCATCACACACATTCATACAAAATCGGTAAATGACCAATTACCAATTGGGAAAAGGTATATGACAATACAGGACAAAGGCTAAATACCATTAATATACAAAGTTCTTGTAATCTTTAAAAATTAAATTATTAGTAGAAAAATTAACCCAAAGCTCAGTCATGTCTGACTCTTTGCGACCCCATGGACTATACAGTCCATGGAATTCTCCAGGCCAGAATACTGGAGTGGGTAGCCTTTCCCTTCTCCAGGGGATCTTCCCAACCCAGGGAT